TGGGGAGGGGGGGGGGGGGGGAGGGGTTTCCCAGGGCCTCGCAACTTCTTAATCCGGTCCTGTCCCACAGAATAAACGAGATTGCAGGTATGTAGCCAATATTGCAATAAAAAACGTTCCACAGTTGATGCGAGATGACGACTATGCAGCTGCTATTTTAATGAGATCGGGGAGTGATTAATTAATTTAAGACCCCAGTACCTTTCTTGCGGTACTTGATCTATTTCCATAAAGAACGTGAAGGAAGACATTCGAATTTCTCACTTCATTTGTTTAAACAAATTAAGCAGTCCAAACAGACTCTTGTTAATCGTGAAGGAAGCGTGATTCAAATTGGGGCTTCACTCTATAAGGGAGGATTTTAAAAAATGGCATTCATCTTTGATTGTAGAGGCAGCGTCTGGTTCCCCTCGGGGAGGTTTGGGTGTGATTAAAGATGTGAACATCCGAGTCTTGCCAGACAAGCACTTCCATAGAGGATGATGGCCTAATGGGGCTCAAATCCTGTTCTCAAAAGATGACAATCCGAGGAAGTACTATTCCCTAGAGTACTTCCAGCCAGACCGAGAGAGACTCGGTGGCAAGGTCTCCGGTAGGGGAGCTGAATAATTACGTACGGAAATACAATCTCAATCGAAACCTCCTTCAACCCCTGAAGGTCATGGCACACGAGTGCATTTGACGTTGTCCCAATGTGAGGCCGCGGGACAAGCCTACGAGGGACCAACGTTGGTTCCCAACGTTGGGCCCACGTCGTAAATGTCGAATTCCAACATGGGCCCAACGTAGGTGTGCTGCCGGGGAAGTTGCTTTAGCGTCAAGAAAAAACGAAAAGAAAGTGTGCATTCCGAACTTCATCCGAGCAGAATTTCCCTTCATCGAACACTTAATTATGTCCATTTTATTAAATGAATTTTTTTTGGAATGACATTACGAGTATCCGATCGTGGGATTTCTAAAATTCTATTTTTAATATTCAAATGTCTCATCTAAGGTCGAAATCCAGTAACTTCAATCATTATATGGACAGTGTGATATTATCCTTTGACCAGTGCATTATTTCATATAGAGTTCGACATTAGGAACAAAATTATGTGTCAGTCCATCTTTGGACATTCAGCAAAGGAACTTCCAAGGACATCCTCTCGGGTCTACCCATGGATGTCCTTGGATGGAGTCCCCGCCCCCTTGAGGCCCTCCATCGGGCCTGACATCTAGCAGTTCATTCAATTAACATGAAGTTCCCACTATCCAAGCGAGGTGGCAACGAACCCACCACTGTATGTCTCCTGATTTCCTTAATGCTAATGAATTGTCCTGCGGAAGCTCTCATTCTCTACTCGATAATTTCCCATGTACTAGCCGAAGTAAGGAAGTCATTTAGTTCATTTGTTGAGAGACGTAACACAGCTCAAGAAGACTCGCGGTAATTCTTGCACCTTGCATGGAGAGAGAGTGGTTCCCCTTGCCAAGGAAGTCTACAGTATTCCTTACTCATGTGGATCATGACGCTCATGGCAACGGGTAAACGGTCTCTCGATTGAGAGGTAAGGATGGGAAGATGAGAGTAACATCTCAGTAATACCTGATTTTCCATCTAAATGCTTCTCTTCGATTTCTTCCCAGGAACGTGAGTGGGTGGAATCTTAGTAATTTCGGATGGTACTCCTCCCATGATACGAATATTAATAAGAATGCAAATTGTGCTCCATTCTTACCCGGGGATGGGGTTTGCTATTGGTATTGCTGCATCCCTCAATGGTCATCCGATAGCTTTCCCATAGGATATCTCCAATGGATCCAAAAAAACGGACATCCAATAGGCTATCCAATGGATATGTCCGAGGCTGATATACGTAGGATGTCCAAGTGTCCATGAGGGTATGTCTAATGGATTTAAATTGCTACTTGGGTCGGGAGAACATAAGGGTGGATCCTCTGCTTCAGAACAAGTGCCTCGTGACTGAATTATGAAATGATGGGAAATGTGCGTAAAATAATTAAAAACTGTTCATTCCCGAAGCCAAATTGAGCAGGAGGTGAGCAAAAGGGTTAAGGGAACACCACGGTGCTTAATGCCAGGTTACAAGATGTTCCTGACATGTGGTGCCAAGTGATGCATGTGAACCTGCTTTCCAAGTGGAGCTGTCAAAGGATGACTTATCGCTCAAGACCTCACTGAATAAATATCATGGAAAAGGATCACACCAAGTATTTCTCAATTGAACATAGAATTTGAATATCAGCAAAACGTTCACCACAAGGACCTTAAAATGAAATCACGATGAGACATCCCAGACATCTTGTGGATAGACAGTAAAATGTACTCTGTCCGCATTTAAGACCAACTGATTATTTACCTTTTCTAGGTTCTCAAAGAGCCTCATTCTCGCCATTGTCTGTGCTACACATTGTTATGGCCAATTAGGTGATAGACATCAGTGAGATTGGGTTGTGCCAAAGAGTCTCAATGTTGTCAGAGGGGGAAATCCGTGATTGAACCTAACGAAGGATGATAGTATCTTCTTTTGCAACTATGTTTTCTTACGTGAAATCAATATTAGTTACAGGAGCTCTTCAGATGACCCTCGTCGAAGTAAAAAAGAAGGCTGAAGAAGTTTGAAGTAAAAAATAATGAGGAAGATATGAGAAGTCTTAACCCCATTATGAATGTCAGGATGAAATGAAGGGAGTGGATAGCAAAAACCAGTAATAAAATCTGATTTCAGTGGGGATATTAGGAACATTTTGAGATACCACGACGCCAACTTTTGATACATGTGTTTAGGAAATGAGAAACAAAAAGGGGGGAAAAATCATTTATATATCTGATTGGAAACTGGAATATATACTCGTACGTTCGAAAAGTTAATATTAATGATGATATAAAAAATCACCCTCTTTGAGTCACAGGGGGAGATCGCTCAAAGTGAACACATGAACCTTTTACATGCACAAGGTGGTTCGTTTCTGTATTTGGAGCAGTTATAACTCCCAAACCTTAGGATGTTAAGCCACGAAATTCGCCAGAGAGGTATAGCACACGATACCAAGCATCACAGTGCTGGATAACACCTTGAAACACCAACACCAAAGGTGCTTCGGGGATCGCCGTTCCCCATTCTCCNGATTCGGAAGTCATAAAGAAGAAGCAGGCGAACTTGCTCCTTAGTAAGAGGGTAGGGCTGGTTCATGGCTGGAGAGCACCAGGGCTGTAATAATATACGGTTGTATGCCGAAGGACACGACCTACTTATAAACACACGCAGAACATTCTAGCATGCTCTGGAAAAAAAATTGTACTGGATATTCAAGAAATTCCGAGAACTTTCTTTCCAATCAGATATAACAAAAGAGGAGCAGCAGTACCAAGCATACAGTATCGATTCTGGACATATATTTTTCATTCTGCACTACACCACTGTTAAAAAGAAAATCCAGTACTTTAGGATGCGGAATATCTGACTGCCCTAGGCGAATTCAGGCAACTATCATGGATTTGTTTAACTGCGATTAGATGGCTACATCATAGAGATATATTATGAATCTATAACAATTATTATCACTGAAACAAACCCCTCCACCTTCAAGGACAACATATATGAATAAGTAGCATTAGTTTTACCGGTTCTTTTTTGAAGGTCCTCGATTGGGTGAAGAACTACGCTTCCGAGACCAGTCACGTTTCTTTGGCAAAGGACGTGTCCCTATTAGCTTATTTCGTCGATTGGGGACAAAGAATACAGTGGGAACAGCCTCAAACACCATAATGTTTCTTGCAATCTTATTCATGAACTCCGCTCTCAGGGCAGGATTAAGAACTTGTGAGGCCCGGGGCAAGTGGATTCTTGAAAGAGCCCCCCCCGCCGCTACTTTACGCAAATACTTAACGTTTTTAACTTCCTTCGGGGGGCCCCCCTAGAAAAATGGGACCCGAGGTAACAGCCCCCTTTACCCCCCCGCCCCCCCTTAATCCGGCCCTGTGAGCTCTCCAAAATGGTCCTCACAAAGGGCATAGCTATTGTAGAGGTATTCTGGCAATTTTCCAAAGAAATCCTCCTTTGTGCAATACTGGATCCACTTTCTGCATCGTTCCCTGAATCAGAGACAGGACAACGACTAAGATCCCTAACCCCATTAGGAGAGAATGCTGGATTAGATGGACCTAGACTTATCTAAGACCTACAGGCCTTACGTCTTTCAGAGTGAAGGAACATATCCTAGAGGATCAAACGTGAGCTCATACATAACTTAATCTTCCATACCGACCCATTTATCGGGTCTCGGAGATTTTAAGAAGTACTGTAATTTTTATTAGACTTTCTCTCTGAATTTCCTCAATAGATTGCAGAGCACCAGCTCCCGCCATGCTTCGCCGTGTAGGCAGTGACAGACAAATTAGCTTCTCCTCAGCGACCACCAGGTGTGCCGCCCGCACAGGATGAAGGACTGCTGACCCCGGCAGCACACCTACGTTGGGCCAACGTTGGGCCCATGTTGGGATTCGACATTCGCGATGTGGGCCCAACGTTGGTTCCCAACGTTGGTCCTTTCCCCAGTAGCACCCCAATATTGGGTCAATATATACCGCCAAGATCCGCCAAGATGTATACATCTTGGCTCTACATTGGGACCCATCTTGGACCATTATTGGCATTACTACACGGAAAAACATTGGGCCAATATTGGCGTAAATATTTTCCCGAAATTTTTTTTCCAGTGGAGGCATTCCAATGGTGAAGGCATTTCACTATGCAGTACTATTACGGCCTGTACCAGTATAACCCCTTGCCCATGCACAAGTCTCTCCCGTGCATAAGCAGGAGACAGAACAGTACAGAGGTTGACTGCCCCTGAACGTACTAATTGTAGTACATTTCAGTAGAAGGTCAGCACCAGATATTGGGTCAATATCTGGTGCTACTGGGGTTGTAGGCTTGTCCCGCGGTCCCACGTTGGGCCAACGTCAAATGCCGACGTGCGCCATGTCATTCAGGGGGTTAGGGGAGGTTTCGATTGAGATTGTACTTCCGCAAGTATTCAGCTCCCCTACCGGGGACCTTGCCACCGAGTCTCTCTCGGTCTGGCTGGAAGTACTGAAGAGAAGAGGAAGCGAGAAGAGGAAGCAAACGCTTAAGGTATGCTTTAAAAAAAACATCTAGGATAGGAAGAATCCTAGATGTTGCTGGCTTTCCGTTAGCCCTTGGGGGGAACATTACTTCTTAATGCTAACATAAGGGAAGATTGCAACTGAAGCTTTTTCTGCATCTTATAGGAATAAAACCTTAGGAGTGGTCTACTACTATCGGGTGATCAACTACTCCCCTGTTTACCCTATGACTCTAGATGAAAATAATGTCCGACTCACGCCCAGAAAATGAAGACTGCCCTTATAAAACGGCCGCCTGCATCCACCTAGCTGAATGACGGGGTAGATAGGATGTGGGTGTGGGTGTCCCACCTAGTGGAAATCCACCTGGTCATTCGTGCACATCAGGTGGATGCCCCCCCCCCCCCCCCGGGTGGATTTTGAACGAGGTGGACATTTCTCCAAAAGGTGGATTTACGCCTAAAAGGATATCTACCTGTTTCCAAATCTACCTGGGCGGTGGATGTCTTGTAAGGGTGGGCAAAAGAATCGTCTTGGATGAAAAGTCCACAATGATGGATTCACGTGTCAGAAATAATTGACTGCTGCACAATAATCAATGCACAATAGTTCAATAGTCCATGACCTATACAAGTGCAGGAATTCGTCATCGCAGGCACACTTTTCAAGGTCAGCTCAAAGTTTTTCGCTCTTACTTTTGTGTCTTAAGCAGTGGCCGCTCGTGATATTTAGTGCTAGTGGTTCGTCTATGTAGGCAGGGGAGGTCGCTGCCTACCCCTTCTCCATAGACGAACCACTAGCGCTATATATCATGAGCCGCCACTGGTCTTAAGGGAGTCAGACTGCAAGGTGCATGATCGGATTGAACGAAATAGGAACGAGCAGATTGAAATGAGACAGGTGGACAGCTTTTACCTAGTCTGGTGATTCCAAGAATGAGTTCGACGATGCCGGTAAGGAAGCAGAGGAGAATTGCATATTCCACGTATTGATCGCCGAATGCATGGCTATTGACGAATTGGCCAAGGACGAGGCAGATAATGGCTGTTGGACCAACAGTCACATCCTTCACACTCCCGAAAAACAGGTACACGAAGCATCCAATGAATCCTGAGTACAGACCGTACTGTGCGAGGGAAACGAACATTTGGGAAGAGGAAATATACGTAACAACCTTGCTTGCAACCTCGCTGCATCGAAAAACAAACTAAGGCACAAAGTAATATACTGTATATATACACCTCTTATATTCTCGAGAAAAAAGGGTTCCAGTTCACCTGGACGGGGAGGTTGGCGATTTTAGCATATGCGAGTCCCTGAGGGAGGATGGTGAGCCCAACAGTCAAGCCTGCGATAATGTCACACACCAGATATTTCAAGTTGTATTGGGGAAGCCACTTGGTGATGGGAATCCTCTTCTGAATCCCTTTTCTGATTCCCTGACGGTTTGGGGGCCAGGGACAGCAGGGACGGGAGTCTTCCGAATAGTCCTCCACTAAGATACTGCCTGATGCATCCCTGTCCAGTACATCTGACGGTATCCACATGCAAAGGATCATTTTGATTACTGGAGTAACAGCCTGCATAATGATCGTGTAACGTGGGGAAAGGGAAAAGAGGGAATCAGGCAAGAGGTTTTACATAATTTTACATGAATGTCTGAAGACAATGGATGACGAACTTGGAACGAGACGAATGCAACAGGAAAAGTCCATACATTGAAAAAGAAAGCTGATATTTTGAACGGGCAGTCTCGATCTCGATCAGTCACTAGCTGCACCACATTATGAGATGATGATAACAATCAAGATTACTATTACGATATCGTGCATCCATGTTATGATACTGGAAGTGAACATGGTCGATGATGATAAAAATTTCAAGCAGATGCTGGAAATTCAGTCACTAACTTATAAAGACGGCAGAATCCGTTAAAGGACGTAATGCGTAAGATTAATCAGTTGAAGAAATGCTGCCCCAACTCCTCGCCGCTTATGGCTCTGTTCCATAGCGATCATCAAGCCCAAATACTGTCCATAGCTGGTGCTGAAAGGTTCGTGGTCATAGACAGGAATGCCGAGTTGCACGTATCTTGCCATTATTGATGGCTTGACCTTACTCTGGCTGTCGTATCCTCAATGCTTCTGAGGAGTTGCTGTGCACTTCCCAGCTTGGTCGTGATTAGGGTTGTGAGTGGTGGTAACATTACCGTAACGCTATCGGATTACCGGCAATTACCCCAGTGTTGCTTACCGGTAATATTACCTCTAAATAACCTGTGAATTACATTTTCGTGGTTTTCAGCAGTTTTTATCGGGACAAAAATTCAAGTTATCCTGCTTTTTTCCTTTTTTGCCTGAGAGAGTGATTCTAGGCCAGATTCAATGACGATGATATAATCACAAAGGTATTAAGGTCTCTGCAGCATTTCTGCATGTCTTTCATGTTATGCTGAGAAATGAGCTGTACAGAGATTTTATAACTCGATGCCAATACGCATTAACTGTGTTTATCCTGTTCAAATCCATAACAAATATATTGGCGGCAATGGCACCGAAGGTAAGGTGTCGCGCTTTCGTCCTATTTTGTATTTTTCATGTCGAGGGTAGGAACCGTGCGTTTTTTACCAGCGTCACTGGAGTACTTTATGAAATCACTCACAATCTACACTAATAAAATGTAATCTAAAAAATAATGGTTCGGACTAGAACCCTCGGCTTTCAGAGGGGTTTTCGCTGATCGAGAAACCATTTAGAATGGTTCACTTCAAAAACTATTTAGCATAATGACGCATAATAATAACTTGGTAGCTCTTGAACTAATAAGGATGGGGCTCGGCAAGAATCTAGGTTTTGTGATCCCAAGAACCATTTTTTCGCGATCTTTGCTTAATAGTTATTCGTGGGAGTGATCATATGAATGTTTCAGATCGTAGAATTGATCATCTACCGTGTCAAAGTCCTCAGATCCTGGTAACTACAAGAGTTAAGCAGCTTCAGCTCGCATAGGCTTGATTCCCCGAAAATAAATGTTTAATCGAAAATGGTTCCAATCCGAACCTTTACTTTTAGAGAGTAGAACCATTTTTCACTAAATGTGCGTAATAGTTACCAGTTGGAGTGATCGTCTGACTGACTAGGCTGTAGCGTTCATGTTCTGCCTTGTTAACGATCTAAGATCGTAGTAGCTCCTGGAGTCAATATCATCTCTTCAACGAAAATGGTTCTATAAAAGTTTCACTCTATAACCTTTATTTTTTACAGTGTAGGACGAATGAAAGTATGAGGGTAGATCAAAAAGTAATGACCGATGATGTTTTTCTTGCCACCTGCTTTCATGCAGTATCAATCATACGTTCATTTCTCGATACTGTCCCTTCTCTTTATGGTAACACCTACCCTGCAAAGCATTTAGTCGCGGATAGAACAGTTGAGAAAAAACATTTTAATTACTTTTTGATCCAACCTTGTAAAAAGAAAATATTTAATAAAAATCTTAGAAGAGAATAAGAGTCGCGCCTTTTCCGACTAGGACTGCACTTTCACGAAATAGCCCTGACCCCAGTCATTTTGGTTGGCTTGCTCCAGATTATTTTTTAAATATATAATTTATATATTTGAAATATTTTACATATACTTTTTGTGCATTTTCCAGATTTGGCTTTTTTTTTGGTGCTTAGTATGCCAAAAAAGAAAAGATCCAGCATCACTCTCTGTATCCACATCCCTAGAGTTCTCTGGCAAAGCATGTTTCTCTCAATATTTTCCAAGTGGGATGTTGCTTTAGCTACTACACTGAGGTTGCAAAAGAGGATATGGGACTTTAAAAAAAAATTGCTTTATATGGCTGTCTTGGAGCACCGGTAACCTAATGGTAATACAACGGTAAAATATCAGTAATTACCGGTAAATTACTTGTAAATTACCAGTAAGTAATGTCCTCTCCCTTACTGATAATTTTACAACCCTAGTCGTGATCATTGCAATGTCGTCGGCAAAATCTAAAACGGATACCCGGATACGGATTCGGGGATATAGTCGAGATTGGATAAGGATTCGCACAGATTCGTCAGAGTTGACCTTGCTCATGGGGGAATCCAGCTCGAAGACAAACTGGAACGGAGCAAGTCGCTTACGAAAAGATCCTACAGGATCCTATGAGATTTTTGAAACATAAAAATCTTAAAGGATTCTTATAGGAATCCTACAATGTTCTTACAGGACCCTATGGGATTTTTTTTATAGGTTCCAATAAGAAATATATAGGAATTCTATGGGAATCCTATAGGAATCTTATACGATTTTCATGTTTCAAAAATATTATAGGAACCTATAGGATTTTTCCGTAAGGGTGTGTCGCCCTGTAGGACGTTGTTGTGGTCGTGCATGCGTGTATGCGACGCGACACGAGAAAAAATTCTGAGTTGAAAAAAAAAGCTCTCCGAACATCGTCACTGGTTTTTCCGGTCACATCAACCATGCTCTACAATTTTGCTTCGAGAAATAAATTACATGAAAATGTAATTCAAAAATTTAAAAAAAGGATATCCCGAGGATCGCAAATTCTTTGAAAAGTGCACAATGTGTTTTTGGTCTCATTGGTCCCTTTTCTCGTGCCGCGTCACATATTTCATTCGTTCCCCCATTGTCTTGGAGAGGAGAAAAGAAAAACGTGTTCGTGCATGGGCCTGGGCCCGGGCCCTGTCTGGCCCAGCCCACACGATCTCTCCACCGAGTCTGTTCGAACCCCACTCATCTCTAACAGATACAACTCAAGTGCATTCAGATGTACTTGCACTTAGTACTTGACTGCACCCAGTCGAGCTCCGTTTAAGAAAATGACTGCCAGCAGCTAAAAATGCTAACACTTAACGTGGAGCCCCAATCAGGTACGGAGCGCGACCCGATCGATCACCATGAATCCGCAGCTCTCCGCTCCGACAAATTTCTCATAGTGTTAGCGGGAGTCTCTTGTGAGACCGAGACTGAAGGAAGACGTTAGTACTTTTCTAAATCTTGGATCTGCATTTGTGCTTTAGATAAAATTTTATGGACCATTTGTTCTTTGGACTCAGGCACTACTATTAGGTACCCTAGGCAATCTTGATGTTATGTCTATGCAAGCAAATCCTTCGCAGATTCACCGCCGATTGTTGGGTAGAAAACTTGATCGGCTTTAAAGGAACAGATGGTCCCCGTTCGGAAGTTCCATATAAAGACTTGACACGATAACAAATATGGAAATATATGGGCTCTTTATTTTAAAAAAATTTATGACATAAATATATCCATATATGTCCATATGTTTTGGCCATGTAAACTCCCTTAACTCCTTTCGACTAAGTTTGACGCACATATAATAAAATATGTCCAAATACATTCTATACATACGACTGTATTTGGTAGTTTCGTACGGGTCTGGGGGTCAATCACATGAGCCCGAGTCATGTGTAAATAATCCGCCCCCCTCCACCACGAGGTCTCAGGCCAACTTCAATTCCATTCATTTATTCTTCGAGTTCATGTCACGAATCGCAAGCGTTTTCGATGCTTCGTGTATTCGGTTAACCTGATAAATCCTGTTGTTTGGATTTTCCAGTACATTCCCCTCGGCTCCGACTCGGCGTATCTGACCTGCGGCATCCACTCAAGATGCGGTCAGCGATACGTCAGGATATTCATCACAAATTTTCAATCTAGAATGACCGGTGACATACCGAAACGAACGGTAAATCATCTTATAAGATGGGTGAACTCGAGTATAATGGGTAGAGGAAAGACTGATGAGGAATCTAACTTCCCCGTGTGAAGTCTCACGCGAGCGAGCAACAAAAATCTTTCTGGCAACAAAAATCTTCGTAAAATTCAATTCATTCAAGATGAGTATGTCTATAACGCATCGGTACGGGTATGGTGACTTTTTAAAACGTCATAGCTTGTCGTTTCATGTGGGGGAAATTGTTTTTCAGTAGCGACAGACTAAGAATTTAAATAAAAGGATATCTGTACAGGAAGAAAAACGCGTACCACGATTTATGTTAAGCAGGATTATGAGCAGGATTTCACAGAAAAGCCTGACTAAAAGTTAAGGCGCCCCTCTCCTCCACTGTTTCCATTCACTTTTTCCAGCTTATGATTGCTGGTAAGTTCTCACTCCATTTCTTCATACATTACTGATACTAGTTCATGACTCTGCTTCCCTCTGCTAATAATTGAGCTTCATCTAATGCCTAATTATTTTCAATGCCATAGACATTACTGTGGAGGAACCCAGTAGGGGCGGGGAGGTTCCCCCCCCCCCCCCCCCCTGCCAGGTTCCATTCAGTTTAAAATGTACATTGTACATGAATTAATTTTCGTTGGGGCTTGTGAAAAGAATATTCAGATTTCACTGAAGATGAAAATTGAAAGAGGGGATAGAACGGAGGTTGGTGGAAGGTGGGGTGGGTTGAGGGAGGCAGGGGGAGTTGGAACTAGGGAAGCGTCCCCCTACGAATAATTTCTGCACTGTAAAACATAATGGTTCAGGCTGGAATTCTTCAATGGTCCTACGCCCTTGAAAAGGTTGCAGGTACTGTAGAACCATATGAATTGGTTTCAGCACAGATGTAGAAACTTATGAAACTCCATCGCTCTTGTTGAACCTCTGGAACTGCCCATTGGTTCTAGATACGACCAATTCTTGTGCTTTCTCAAAATTATTCGAATACGGATCCCTTCAAGGTTTGATACATAGATTTTTTCCTTGAAGCCTTCATCCCTTTCTTGATACGGTATCGTCTTCTGATTAGCTTTCCACACCACTTTGAAATAATTGAAATAATGCAGTCTTTCACACGTTGCCTTTTTCATCGCCAATCACCTTTCAAGGGCGTAGGACCATTGAAGAATTCCAGCCTGAACCATTATGTTTTACAGTGCAGAAATTATTCGTAGGGGGACGCTTCCCTAGTTCCAACTCCCCCTGCCTCCCTCAACCCACCCCACCTTCTCACCCTGGTGCCATTGGAATGAGTCCCCTGTAATTATTTCACAAAGTACCCGATCTTTTCCCGCGTAAAACTTAAGGGAAAGCTTTGGAATTCCTAGATGGAACCGTTTAAGGAAGTAACCTGGCAGGAGACTCAATTTTCCTAAGTCTCTACATCGTGTTTATACGGACTCAAGTTCTTGAATCTCTTTCAAGAGAGATAGAGCGTGAAAAATTGCCTGTGGGGATGTGTTCTCTCCTCTCCTAGAATGAGGTAAATCTGGGGATGTTGCTAGACGTGTAATTTCTCTGCTGGACAACAAAAGTTGTGTCACTCAAGTACTCAACTCTAATTCTGATCCAGTGAAGGAAATGCAACCTCAGCGGGACTCCTCCGGAACGTTAGTACTCAATAGAGTACTACCAAACCTCTGAGATCCTTCTTTAGCTCTTCGAATTGATCCCTCCATGGGATGATAGTACTTAACAGAGTACTATCATTAATCTAATTTACAGGGTCTTGCATAACCTTTTGCTATGTGGTTACAGCAGTTATGGAGTATAAAAAATATGAGGTTTATACATATTTTAAAAGCTAATTTTATTCTCATTTCATATTTGTCATTGAAAATTATAATCGTTGGGGTGATTGGCGATGAAAAAGGCAACGTGTGAAAGACTGCATTATTTCAATTATTTCAAAGTGGTGTGGAAAGCTAATCAGAAGACGATACCGTATCAAGAAAGGGATGAAGGCTTCAAGGAAAAAATAGAAAGTATGATGATTAGTGAACATGGTTCTGACCGAAATTCTGAAGCGGTTGTCCCGCAAAACTTCCAAAATGTTATTCATTAAATTTAAAATGAAACATAACTTTGTGAAAATTTGTTGAAATTTTACCCTCAACATTTGAGGGCTGTACGTGAAGACAATGGCGGTCACACAAAATACTGATGCATTACTGTGTTCAGGTTGAATAAAGGTTTAAATTGATTTGCTTGCAATTTTTATATTTGTATTTAAGGTTGTACCCCCCCCCCCCCTTCCCCCAGCAAAAGGTTATGCAAGACCCTGTACATGCAATCTTGTCACCTAATCGTTATTAGCGCACGTTCAGACCCAGGAAATGGAGGAGGTATTACAATGGCCAAACGTTGAGAAATCAATGCTGGCACAACGTATTTTCAATGTCGAACTGTGTTTCATTTCAACATTGCTTCAGCATCGGGGCAACCTTTTGCACAACATTGGGTCAACATTGTTACGTTTAAAAATCAACCTTTGCTCAAAGTTGACACAACGTTGGTGTGCTGAATGGGATGCTGCATTGAGTGATGGTTCTCTGTGGAACCATGTCATTCACAAGGGATTTTAAATGACACCTTCTGTAAAGGTGCTACGTGTAACCTTCCTAAGTGGTTCTCTATAGAACTATTAAATAGTTCCAAGAAAGTTTCACCCTAGAACCAATAAGCAGTTCAAGGGAGAACCATTATTTGTTACAGTGTGCATCCGCCACTGATTACATTTGGCCTACTTCCATCCTACTTTTCCATCGCAGTATCAAGTGCGATTTCCCTGTGTTCATAGGATTAGATTCCATCACTGTTCATTGATACCCACCTGAAGCACTCTTGGACTGAGCGAGCTCTAATTCTTCCATTTCGAGGACGATTTTACTTCGGAAATCAGTCACTGCCGCCAACGCTTCCACAAAACGCACTTTCACAAAATTATTTTCTCCACAACAGGAGTAGCCGGGGGGACGAGTGCAGAGTGGAATGAGACGGGGATGGAGAGCACACGTGTTATTCTCCTCGTGTTCACCGTGCTCGACAGCGTCCTCCTCCCTGCCGGCTCGGCCCCGGTCATCCTCATCTATTACGCGCAGGCCAGGGACGAGTCGGACGTCGCCCTGTCCAGGTCATCCCAGGTCGAGACCGAGCAGTTCCACAACAGATGCGTCGATTTCCTGGATGGAAGATAACGATCTCGCTTGCCGATCCCGAAATCGCATCAATGCAGAGAAAAATATAATTAATTTACCGTGAATACATGGGAGTGACAGGATTTGGATACTTTTTATGATGTATGGACGTCCTAAATCTTTATTGTTTGAAAGCTGACACGTACTAATCCCGATACTCGAGAATAATTACATAATTTATGAATATTTCAGTAGTTCACTCACATACCAAAAATATTGAGTTCACCTTAAGTTTCATTGCTTTATATTCAAGATGGTACAAGAAACGTGTCCATGTTAATCTTTCTAGATATCCACACTCCACACTCCTAGAGTTCCGTGAAAGGGCATTGCAAAATTTGCGCTCTCAC